AAAATCTTTAAAACTTAGATATCCTATGTACCCTAGAAAAAAAATGATTATTTCGTAGAATAAAGATATAAAAAGGAACAATAAAAACTGACAAAATTGGGAGACACACAGGACATCTCTTCAAAGATGGTCAATTTTAGTCTTAAAATACATCCCATTAGTTAGAACTGCTTGGTTGGGCATTTGTTATAATGTTCATTTTGACAGGTTGCTGATTTGGGAACTTAAGTGGACAATTTAGTTTCCTGACTTCCTATTTAAAACTGTATTTACTGAAGCCAGGATCGCCTTCATAATTTTGCTTTGTGCATTTCCTAATCCAAGAGGCATCCCTTCCTCTCAAAACAGGCTATTATAGGGAGGATGGATATAAAGTTTTCAAAGCTATTGGTGACAAATTACTATATGATTTGAAGAAATTCTTAGAATTAACATCTGACGAAATAGACTTTTTTTTTTTAGAAAAATAATACAATTCTTTGTTTTTTAATCTACTGTGGTTTAAAGCTTAGGTTTTATTTTTGCCATGGTATTTGAACACCTAATTTGGGATAGTACCATGTCCTAAAACAACAACATGTTTTAGGCAGATAAGTCGAATTTCCTTCTTTCTTGGAACAATAGTATGAAACTGAACTTGTGGCAGTAGTTGAAGACTTTTTATACCCTGTTTTTGAGTTTAATATTTTTGAGATAGAAGTGAAATTAGATACTAGAACCCTTCATATAAAAATATATGCATATCAATTTGTTAAACTCTAATTTCTTAACAGCAGAAACATAAGGATTAAAACAAAACAAAACCCATGAGGATTAAGTAAGATATATGCACGATTTAAAATCTAGATAGATCTTTAGAGTTAAATTTACCAGGGTCCTGCAATTTGTCAGATTCCATTATCTATTTAGCAATTTATTTTGTCCAGGAAGCCTTCTATTTTAAATTTTACTTTGTTTTATAGTGTCACCCAAGAAGAATAACCTCAATTCTTCATGTTTTCCAATAGCTTCAGAAGTGCTGGACATCGTTAAAAAAAAATGACACCAATTACCAGAGAACCTAAGAACTCTGATTCTGATGAGTTCCTTTACCACCTTCAGTCACTTTCTGAATAGAATTTAACCACACATTATCAAATAACATTTTATACTAAAAAAATAATTTAAATAGCCCCCCAAATGACAGTATTTGAGAGATCTAAATGAATTCCATCCATGCAATAAAGTTCACATATATGGTATTGGTAACCTACGACCACTGTACTTTGTTCCATGGAGGAAAAAGCAGAGAATCTAAATATTTAGACACATGAAAGATATTGGGAAAAATAAAAATTTAATGCTTTTTATTCTCCCCAAATACTCTTGATTTGGACTCTATAGCCCACTGAACACAAAAGCAACTGTAAAATACATTTCGAGAAGAGATGATACCATACTAAAGACAAGGTAATTCTACAAATTTTGAAAGCATTAAAAAACTGACTTAAAAAATAGTCACTGGGAGAAAAATATTGTCACTGCACATCCAAGAACAAAAGGTGTGTGATATTTGATTATTTGAGTAATACTTTGTGCTTATACTATGCCCTTTATTCAGGAGTGCAAAGCACTAAAAAGTAAGCATTATTTACATGTTTAGAATAAACTGAGGCACAGGAAGTTTTACCAGGGCAAGATAAAAGCCAGGTTTTTAGACATAAAATGATTCAGAATTCCACATTTCCAGTTCCTTAAAATATAACTTAAGTACTACCTTTAATGCCTTCACTTTACCAAACTTAAGTAGTTTACAATTATAGCTTAAGTTGTACACTCAAGTAGTGTGTGATAGGTAAAGCCCATAGATTTCCAACATGTCTAAAATAACTGGTATATTGACCAGGAAAGTTTGCTTTTTGCTTTAAAAAAATTCTTTTTAAAATAAATTAGATTGTTTGAGGGCAGTTCTGGAAATTCTTGCCTTGATTTTTCTGCTTCACCTGCCTACATTAATATAGGGACAATAATTTGTTCCTGAAATATATATTGCACTTCTAATCCTTTCCTCTCAAGATCTTCTGTCTCTTAGTGAACAGAGGTGGTGATTCATTAAAAACAAAATAAGTTTTTGTGCAAGTACAAAATAGTTAATGTTAAGGTCAGTCACTAATCTCTGACATTAACTTGCTTAATTAAACTAAGGTAAAAAAGTACAAGGAAAAATTCAAAACATTTTAAGGGATAAGTAGATAAATATTAGAAATGTGAGACAATAAAACAAAATAAATGCTTCCAAAGCCTATTCCTAAACTTAAATCTATGCCTCATTTAACTACTAACATGACACCTTGAAACATAGAAGTCACTTTACCTAAGCACAGTGGGCCAGCATATTATAGGAAGCAGTCACTGCCAATTTTAGCTGCCGCAAACTGCTTAGTGTGTGTCTTAAAATGTTGACTCTTAAATTTGAGGAAAAATGCCTAGATTCTTTTGAGAATCTAATAGAAGTCATGGATCCTTGCTTTAGAATACACAATAAGTACTGTTAAATGTCAAAAACCTATTGTGCATCATAGCACTGTTGATTCAATGGAATTAGACACGAAGAAAATTCAGTTAACAATGACTGTTCACTAACCTTAAGGAACGTTTTAAAAGTACGAGAAAGCCCAGTGACTGTATCATTCTTTCATGTGCCTGTTTTGCTGGCTGTAATGTTGACTGGTTGATGGAAATGTGCCCCTAATCTAGCCTATAAATATTAAAAGCAAAAATGTTTGTGTTCTAACTGCTGCTAGCAGTATACATGTAACAATTTTCAAGTACTACAAAATACTGCGAGGGAAAGACTTTAATATACCACTATCAAATTCCTATATACTCAAACCAGCAATGAAATGTCTGAGTATAATTTGTTGCCTTGAGCAAAATATAAGAAAATAAAGACACGATAGCTCTAAATTCTTTATAATCTTCAAGGATGGGAAACCAGTATCTCTGAGAAGTTTGTTTGTTTTAATAGAATTGAACATTTAATTTTACCCCCACAGTAATCAAAGCAAACATTTTATCATTATTATTCTTGGTATATCAAACATTCCAGGAATGTAAGAAAATCTGACTTGGAAATATTACATAGAAAAAGGCTGAATTAACAAACACATTACATTTTTTAATTACTTCTTATAAGTATACATTGACATCTATTTATCTGACAGCACTGCTGCTTTTGAGTGAGTCTTTTTTTTCTTCCAGAGGGAATGGAGAATGGCAGTATTATCTTTTGAACAAATTAAGTAGACAGTAGCAAACAACAGAATAACTTCTACACATAAATTTTTCAAGGGCAATAAATAGTAAATATAATTATGGGAACATATGCCTCAAATATGCTTTGTAAAATTTCTCAGGATTTATTTATTTATTTATTATTAAAATATACTGCACTATCACTACTATCTGGGGAAAAACAAACCCTGAAGTTTTAGTTTCCTCCTTCAACCAGAATGACAAGAGTAAACCTGGCCCTAGCTGGTTTGGCTCAGTGAATGGAGCATTGGCCTGTGCACTGAAGGGCCCCAAGTTCGGTCCCGAGTCAAGGGCACATGCCCGGGTTGTGGGCTCGATCCCCAGTAGGGGATGTGCAGGAGGCAGCCGATCAATGATTCTCTCTCATCATTGATCTTTCTATCCCCCTCCCTTCCTCTCTGAAATCAATAAAAATATATTTAAAAAAAAAAGAGTAAACCTGGACTAAGGTCAACTTGTTTGAGCCAACAGAATTCTGCGGTACATTTGGTTACTTTACCAATGTACGCATATTCTGGGTTATTATCAAGAGACTTACCAAATATTTTATATTAATGTTTTATACCCCAAACAGGTTCTCTGATGATTATCATGCTACCATAGGAAATTTGAAGGAATAACAAATGGTATAACATAAACAGACATGCAGTACGCAAGACATAAAAGATACAGCTTGACCCTGGATTTTTCCCTTAGAATAATTCCTTCCATAAATAAGACTTTACTTTTTACATGTAGACTAATCCTCTTGGATCATGGAGAATGTTAAGGACATGGCTTAAGCAATCTAGACCACTTTTCTTTTTCTTTTTTTTGTAGTCTATTGTCACCCAGACCACAAAAAACATTCTGCAAGTGGATGCTCAGGTTAGATTGATGCTTTTAAACAAACTTACTGAGGCTTAGAATGTAAATCATGTAACTACTTGCAGCAGCAATAGTCATTTCAAAAATGACTAAAACAAACTTTTAAATACAAAGCATATAAAAGTGATTATTAAGGATAGTTTTCCAAACTATATCTAGAAATACAGAAATACATGTGTTGCCTCATGATAAAGTTCAATAAATATTCTTTCTGAATCCTACAAACACTACAAGACGTTATAGGTTTATTTGGTTCTCATAAGTTAAAAAAATCTGATTGTTTTTATATAAATTCCTCCAACAGATTTCTACTACTGGTTTTTACTAGACTGAGAGATTATAATCTAACTTCCCTTCAGAAATGTGCTTTTTTGTTGGTTTTAACAAAGTATACTTAATTTTCTAGCAAATAAACATGATTTAAATTTTAAGGTTCAAGGTAATCCTAGAAAAAGGTAGACACTGAACTACTTGCTTGTCTACATCCTCATATTTACAAAGCCCCGCATCCACAGTGGTTTCCTTCTTACCCTCACTTGTTACACCGCCAGTAAATAGTAGCTGTGGTCCAAGTTACCTATATTAAAGATTTCAAAATTCCTCAAAATGTCACAACACTACAAAGTCATAATATCTGATTTTGATAGGATATGAGTATTAGTACTATGTAATTTTTTGCTACTGGAAAAAAAAATACTAGTCTTTATTTTTTCTATCTAATTAAATCCGAGCTCCATGATCAGTTCTTATGATAATATCTAAAATGTACATTCCTAAAGAAATGTAAAGCTGTTTTAGGGCTGAACTAGTTCAATATACAATTAAGGATTATTTATTCCTGTCTTTTTTTTTTTCCTTTTAAATCTCTATATTAAACCCCTGGTTTCTTGTGGATTAGATCATAATTTAATATTGAAAAATTAATTTCAGAAACTAGTGTGCTAATATTTAGTTTTCAGGAAGGAATCAGACAAAATCAATTACCTCCATTCATTGTTAGAACAGAAGATAAAATAGCTTACTAACTGATATGAGTTATGAATGTCACTATGACACAAAATTTGCTGTGATTTGCTTATTTGGCTACAAGTGCAGTATTTTTCATGAATGACAACACACAGCATTTCCAACTTGTAACAGGAAACTCCAGCTCATAAATAGTGTACTGTGTGACTTGAAAAGTCTGATTATAAGTTAAGTAACAACCTTTCCCCTGAAAAACATGAACAAAATCCATTGGGAAATCAGGCACAGACGGTATTTATCGGTTTTTCTTCCTTTCCTCCTGTGGTTTTGTTTCTCAAGACATATAGATGGTTTCAATAGAATCCAACACTTGTTACAAAATAACACAGCTATTTTTTTCCTTTTCTTTTTCTTTATCTTTTTCTCGAGGTTCCTTTCGTTTACGTTCACTATTTCCCGATTGTCTTCCACTTGACGGAGAGGCTTGTGCTGGCTGGCTCTGCTTTAGAAAAAACAAACAAGAAGAAATTACCTCAACTTTTCTTAACTATGCTTAGTCATAGTTATCTAGAAAGAAAAACCACAAGAGTGAAAGAACTCATTAATGAAAAAAGAAGCTATTGGCATATAGCCTTGTTATGTTACATGGTATCTGAGTAGTTGCCTCTACAATTCTGGATAGATATATAAATTATTCTAAGTAAATAGAAATTTCAAACAATAAATAATGTCAAGTAAGATTATGTTGTCTGAAGTCTCAAATTCAAGAAATATTTATGTTAAAGTTTAGAGAATGTTAATGAAAGTGATACCATTTAGTAAACTATAATAGTTCTCTAAGCCCCCATTAACTACCATAATAAACAGATTTTAAAAGGAAGAAAAATATTGAAAACTGAGTGTGTGAAATAATTGTATTCAGTGAAATAAGAGAAAAAGAAAAATTTTTTTAAATCCTCATCCAAAGATATTTTTCCATTGATTTTTTAGGGGAAGAGAGAGGGAAAGACAGAGAGAAACATTGATTGGTTGCCTCCTGTATGAGCCCCAGGGCCTGGGCTGGGGAGGAGCCTGCAACCAAGGTACATGCCCTTAACCAGAATCACACCTGGAACCCTTTGTTCTGCAGGCCGAAGCTCTATCCACTGAGTTAAAGTGGCTAGAGCGAGAAAATTTTTAATGAAAAGCTAATCATAAATGTAGGTTTTAACTTTTAAGCTTGGGGTAGTCAATATTTGAGCTAGAAATAGATATGTTATACTTATTTTAATGGAGACCTCTATATTTATATCTTCATCAGCTCTTAAAGGACATCTCCCTTTCTTACAGTTCTGGCACGGTACAGTTAAACATAAAAAGGGGGATTTTCCCCCCATTTAATGCAATGAGATTTAACATATAGAAACCAACTTAACAGTCACATTTACAGTGCATAAAACATTCAACTGGGAAGAGTAAAAAGTGGGAAAGTGCTAATCTTGGTTGGATACTTAGTACGTGCCAGACACTGGGTTTATTTGTTCTCAACCACAAACCTAAGAGTTAAATACTATCTCCTATTTTACAGACAGGGAAAATGAGGCTAAGAGGCAGATGACTTTATCCAAGGTGTTACAGGAAATGCAAATCTACATCTACCTGACTCTGGAGCCTACATTCTTCCCGTAATAGCTCACACTGCCCTCTGATTGACAGAAAAGACTGTTTAAATTGGTTTATATTCTGTGCAGCTATTAATAACTTTAAAAAATAAATTTGAAAACTCTTGTCATCAGAACCTTATGAAAAATAACTTCAGTAAATGAGAAAAATAGTAAGATAAGCACAAAAATAGGATAATGTTATAAAACCTAATGGGGCCAAAACCGGTTTGGCTCAGTGGATAGAGCGTCGGCCTGCGGACTGAAGGGTCCCAGGTTCGATTCCGGTCAAGGGCATGTACCTTGGTTGCGGGCACATCCCCAGTAGGAGATGTGCGGGAGGCAGCTGATCGATGTCTCTCTCTCATCGATGTTTCTAACTCTCTATCTCTCTCCCTTCCTCTCTGTAAAAAATCAATAAAAAAAATATATTAAATAAAACCTAATGGGCGCTAAAATGCTTACATAATTAAAGAGTCAATATATAATTTAAAAATGTTTATCTCAGTACAAATTTCTTTATTGTTAAAGTGATCATTGCGTTTAAGAATGAGAACACTGTTTTCACCTGAGCCTGGGTAGAAGCAGAAGTAGAAGCAACAGCAACTGCTGCTTGTTCCTGTTCCTGGTAATATTGAGAAGCCCGTCTATCCTCTTCTTCTTGGAGTTTCTTTGCGAGTTCCAAATCACTGATTCCTTCCGGTGCTTGTTCCCAATTGATCTCTTGGCTCTGCTGTTCTTGTTGTAGAGATAATGCCATAAGATAGTCCTAAGAAATGAAATTACAACCATCTTTAGCTATGAGACATTACCCAAGAACTAATGAGTGTAAATATAGAGGTTATAACTACAAAACTAAGAATGGCTTTTTAAAAACATACCAGAGCCTAAATATAAAAACAAAAGTTATCCAAGTGCTTCTGCTTGGGACCTAGCTGGTTTGGCTTATTGGATAGAGCGTCAGCCTGAGGACTGAAGGGTCCCAGGTTCGATTCCAGTCAATGGCACATGCCCAGGATGTGAGCTCAATCCCCAGTAGGGGACGTGCAGGAGGCAGCCGATCAATGATTCTCTCTCATCATTGATGTTTCTATCTCTCTCTCCCCTCTTCCTTCCTCTCTGAAATTAATTTTTTTTAATAAAAGTGCTTCTGCTTGGGAATATTAACCTATTTCAGTGATGCTACTATTGTTCTAAATGTTTTTGGAATTCATCTGAAATTCTTTCTAGAAGAAGTATATAAGGCATTAGAGAAAACTTAAAAATGTTGCCCCTGCCTGGCTGGTTTGGCTCAGTGGTTGAGCGTCACCTATGGACCAGGAAGTCATGGATCAATTATCAGTCAGGGCACATCCCCAGGACGGGGTATGCAGGAGGCAGCTGATCAGTGTTTCCACTTCTAAATGGGAATTCTACTCACTAATCTACTCTTTCTATTCACCTACACTTTATCCAGTGCATGCTATCTTCAAGACTCCCTCTTTTATATGTTTTCTAATTAGCCAAAATATATCTCAACCATGTACTCATCTCTTCATCTCTATCATCTCTTGCTTGGACTACTAGTCTCTACTTATACCTGTGTCCCTCCTCTGTATTCTCCACCTCGCAACCTTTTAAAAAGGTGAAGTAGTTCATGTCACTTCCATGTGATATACCTGGCATATCTTCCCTACCACAACTAAATAAAATTCAAACTCTTTACCATAACCATCACAGTTCTCTATGATCTGGCCTAATGACCAAAGTGTACAATTAATATGCATATAGAATGACGACCTATCTATTTAGGAAGTGTCAGAAAAATTACATAAGTATATTAATGAATAAATCTTTGTTCAAAAGTTTTGGATAACTAAATTTGTATTTGAAAGGAAAGAAAATTTTAAATAATATGAAGAAATAAACAAATTTACCTGATCGATCTGATCTTGTTGTCCTCTGTATACAGTTTCAGGATCTGAAGGAGGCCGCAGATGAAAATCTGAGTCACAGAAATTTCCATCACCATCAACATTATGAAGGCTTTCCCAAACAATTTTTTCTTCAGTAAGAAACCCCTGGTCTGTTACCAGCAGATACAGTAGACCCTTAATAAGAAATAACAAAAGAAAAAAGACTGACACATTGGTAAAAACCAGTTCATACTTTTTTTTTTTTAATATATTTTATTGAGTTTTTACAGAGAGGAAAGGAGAGAGATAGAGAGTCAGAAACATCCATGAGAGAGAAACATCGACCAGCTGCCTCCTGCACACTCCCCACTGGGGATGTGCCCGCAACCAAGGCACATGCCCTTGACCGGAATCGAACCTGGGACCTTTCAGTCCGCAGGCCGACGCTCCATCCACCGAGCCAAACCGGTCTCGGCACCAGTTCATACTTATTTTTAATATGTTTCTATTGATTTTAGAGAAGAGAGAGAAACATCGATAAGAGAGAGAAACATCAATGGCCTGCCTCCTGCATGCCCCCTACTGGGGATTGTGCTCACAAGCCAGGTGTGTGCCCTGACCCGGAATCAAACCGGGGCCCTTTTGGTTATGGGAGGATTCTCAACCAAGCCACACCGGCCAGGCAAAACTAATTAATATTTAAGAGAAATCTTATAATCTGTATGCGTAAAGCATATGAATTACTCCTACTAGTTAGATCTGTATAACATAATAAATAGTAGACCAAGTAGATATCTTATTTGCTCACTGAATTAAATCTAGCTGGCTTTGAATATAGTTTATAATTGGTACACTATAGTATAATGAAAAATTATACTATAATTTGAGGAGCTCCTGGCATGTTCAACAAGTAAATGACTTATATATAGCCTTTGGGGGGGAGGTTACAATCTCATTTCGCAAAATAGAAAAATACTATACAAGTTCCTAAAAATACATCAGGTAATAAATAAGACACAGTCATAATAAAATGATATCACTCTGCCTATAGTCATAAGCCAATGTGACTAATCCAATCCATATCAATTTTTCCTTTCTCTGTACCAACAGTACTTTGTACCTGTTTCTATTGTAGCCCTGAATCACACTATACAATAATTGTGTTTTTCTGCCTTATTCCCCAGACTATATGTTTTAATCTTTATATCTCTGGCCCTTAGTGTAGTGTACTCATAAAATTGAATCAATCAACTTTATTGAACCAATCAATGAACTCATATTAATAGTCACTACCAAAGAATTTAGCATTGATCTTTAATTTTTCATATGTATTAGTTCTGATTCCAATCATGTGTAAGTGTCCCTAGTATACACATAAGGATTGTAAGCCGTTTTTCTTCAGATTTGCCAAAGATATCACTTTCATTTACCTGTTGAAAGTTCCTACTGGTTAATACAGTGTTTATTACCAGAGCTAAAATATAAAAACAAAAGTTATCTAAGTGCTTCTGCTTGGGACCTAGCTGGTTTGGCTTATTGGATAGAACATCAGCCTGAGGACTGAAAGGTCCCATGTTCGATTCCAGTCAGTGGCACATGTTCAGGATTCGAGCTCAATCCCCAGTAGGGGACGTGCAGGAGGCAGCCGATCAATGATTCTCTCTCATCATTGATGTTTCTATCTCTCTCTCCCCTCTTCCTTCCTCTCTGAAATTAATTTTTTTTAATAAAAGTGCTTCTGCTTGGGAATATTAACCTATTTCAGTGATGCTACTATTGTTCTAAATGTTTTTGGAATTCATCTGAAATTCTTTCTAGAAGAAGTATATAAGGCATTAGAGAAAACTTAAAAATGTTGCCCCTGCCTGGCTGGTTTGGCTCAGTGGTTGAGCATCACCTATGAACCAGGAAGTCATGGTTCAATTATCAGTCAGGGCACATCCCCAGGACGGGGTATGCAGGAGGCAGCTGATCAATGGGGAACAGTTTAGGCAGTTGACCATACTTTGCATATTCTCTCTTATCATCACAATTAATCTTAATAAGTTAAGAATAAGAAATTCCTTTAAAGATGTTGGTGGTGTGGGTTGAGAAATTACTGAGTTAATTATGAAGCTTTAAAAACTAAATAATTATTTTTAAACATTTATTATATGTCCAGCACTGTGGACATAGCTCTTCCTAAAGCACAAACTCTTTCCTGTTGTCTACTAGCTGTTACATTCAAGAGTTAGCTGTAGATAGTGATTAATTTATAGTGATTGAAATTACTATAATAACATGGAAAGTATTTATAAAGAAAAACATTTTGATATAAAGTTTAAAGACATTGTTTTAAGCAAAACTTAACTCCAGATTCATACTTAAAAAAAAAATCAGATATGTTTCAATCCACCCAATATTTAAATGCTCATCATATGCTCAGCACTATGCTAAGTGCTTGAGGATTCATATCATAGAAAGCAATGATCCTACCTTAATCTGGTATTAGACGCCCCTTCTACATGATTCCATAGAAACCTGCTCTTTCCACTTTATACAATGAATTGTAGTCGCCTGCTTACTTACTCATCCCTCTGAATACATTTCAAGCTCCTTGAGAGCCAGAGCCATCGTCATCATTATCTAACCTATTTTTAATACCCAGTTAGGGTCTACCTTGTCCTAGGATAATTTAAGAGAAAAAATAAAGTTCTTTCCAGCCAATTTTCTACTGAATAGATCTGATCTTTCTGTTTACACTTATCACAATACATTTCAACATACCATTATATTATACAATATTTAGGCTTTATAATTTAGTTTATGTAGATCATATAATGATTGGCTGTGTGCTAGGGGAAGAACCATAATCTTATCAATAATTTTTTTTCCAAATGACACTTTAGGGTAGGTAATTTCTAGGAGGGTTTCCCTTAAAGGAGGGTTTCATCCAGCGCATATGAATATTTATACACTTTTATCTAAAAGGGTATCCCATTCCTGGTATAACTGACCTGTCTTCTCAAGGACCATCAGCCTCAATTTCTTCCTCTTTTAGATCTTGACATTTATCGAAAAGGTCTGTAACTGGTCCACTGTCAACAATGCTGATTATTACTCAACAGTTCCTTTATATAAATTGCAGTGTAGAATAGCAAAGTATGTATTAGTATAGTACTGAACAGTGTAGGCCAATTTTTCCCGAGAGTCTATAGTTATATTACTATCAAGAATACTTTTTGCCTTTATACCCACAATCACTTTTGCTGCATTATCTAGTCAAAGCTTTTCTAAGCTTTGAATCTTCCTTCTGATCTCATTCACCAGTCTCTAAAATACTAATTTCATAAAAAATAACAGAGAAAGCATGTATTAAATTCTTAAATTATTTCTTAATGTATAAAATGTATAAATTATATAAAAATGATAAAGAAATGGCATTAAATAATTTTTATCATTTTATAAAATAGGCAATTGGATAACAAAAGAAAACTGGTAATATCATCATAAATTAGTTGTATACAGAGTATGAATAACATAGTGAGAATATCATCACAATTTATAAATTGATAAAATAAAACTTGGCAAATGTAATAAAAAATTAAGTAATTCCAGCCATTAAAATATGGAGAAAAGCACTGCCTGAATATTTTTGGTTAACTAGTTTGGACTGAAATTACTTAATACCTTTGAACTTTAGTTTTCTTTTCTCCTAAAGTAATATAGAGACATTAAGATCATAAAATTTTTAAGAGATTATAAACTGAAAGATGAATATTACTCCTACTTAACAAACATAAATCTCATCCACAAATACATCTACCCAGAGAGGCAAAGCTGTTGAAAATGTGGGCTTGAAGTCAGGTTGGGGCTGCTTACAAGCTGAGTGGTCTTGGACAAGTAACTGAGGGCCTATAAGCCTGTTCTTTCAGTTGTAAAGTAATAAGGGAGTAGTAATATTCACATCTCACAGGGGAGTTGTGCAAATTAAATAAGATAATGAATATAAAGTGGTTAGCACAATGTAAAGACACATGGTGCTTAATAAATATAAAGTATTACATTCATAAATATCACCTAAATTTATCTCAGTTTCTGTATCTATCCCCTTCTCCTGTCTCCTATTTGAAAGAAAAAGATAAATCTCTTGGCCTGTACTGTGGAATTTATTACTTTCCTTATTTTTAAAAAAATGTATTTTATTGATTTTTTACAGAGAGGAAGGGAGAGGGACAGAGAGTTAGAAACACTGATGAGAGAGAAACTTCCATCAGCTGCCTCCTGCACACCTCTCACTGGGGATGTGCCCGCAACCAAGGTACATACCCTTGACCGGACTCGAACCTGGGACCTTTCAGTCTGCAGGCCAATGCTCTATCCACTGAGCCAAACCGGTTAGGGCTACTTTCCTTATTCTTTTTCCACATTTCTGTATCCACTGTCCCCATAAGAAAAAAAATTAAAAAACGTGACCATTTTTTAAAAAGTATATATTTTTATGGATTTCAGAGAGGAAGGGAAAGGGAGAGAGAGATAGAAACATCAATGATGAGAGAGAATCATTGATTGGCTGCCTCCTGTAAGTCCCACACTGGGGATCAAGCCCGAAACCTGGGCATGTGCCCTGACAAGAAATCGAACCCTGATCTCCTGGTTCATAGGTTGATGCTCAACCACTGAGCCACACCACCTGGGTGAAAGTAACAATTTTTGATGCATCAACCACCTTTTAAAAGTAACTAAATTAAATAAATATTCACTTAAATGTAGTCTTCTGTGGAAAACAAAATTCCCACTATAGTCTTAGTCAAAGAAGAAAGAGAATGGGCAAACTTATTTCTTTAACATGACTTTAGTACTTATCTACAATTGTATCTTCTCCTAAACTAATCTTCATTTCTAATCTCTAAATGGAAAGTTAAAGCAAACAACCAAAAGCCAACCTCAAAAACCCTGGTTTTGAATATACTCCAGAGAGATGTCAGTAATTTGAAGCCAACAGGTAGAAGGAACAATTATGACGTGGACATAAAGTTGATACTTCATAAAAGAATGATCAAGAGTGAGACATGTCATTCTATATACCAAAGACCTAGAAACTAGGGTATCTGCAATCGAGGGCCAAGGAATCAGTAGTCTATCTTACTTGAGAGCCAGCAGAAAGTATTGGAGAAGTGGAGGAGGATCATAAAACAAAACAGGATAAATAGATCTTGGAGATAAAATAATTAGTCACGATAATATGAGAAGCAAAACAGAATGTTTCTAGGAAAAAGGTAATTTATTTAAAACTCACTTTGATACTGTCAAGTTTCCCGCCTGTATAAAAAGTCACCTCCCCATCTAGAACCAGAGGAACAGCCCTGAGAACAGCTGTTCTCTCGGTAGGGTCTCCTCCTGCTGCTTTCAGATACTAATCTAGTTGTGCTGATAAAAAGCACACATCTTCATAGGAGAACATACTCAGCGTGGTTTTGCCATGATGATCTGTCCAATTCAATTGTATAAGATTAAGTGGAAGTACATGGAGCAAGGTAACAAGTGGTAGCAGAAATTGGAGATGTGTGTATTTGCTGCCAATGGACAGATGAGGGATGAACAGTTTAATCAAGGATTAAGGAGAGTGCTATTACAACTAATAACTAACAAGGGCTGGACTTGATTACTTTGCTAGTAATAGAGGAAACAGCAGAGGTCCTTGCCCAGAGTTTAGGAATAGTAAACCACAAAACTAGGAATGATCAGAGGACTTTTCAACAGGAAGTCAATTAGTGTCTGTGGTCAGAGAAAATGTCATGAGAAGCTGTGCAATTAAAACCATAGGAGGTCATACTGTGTTAGACAGTTAGAAAATGTGAGATTGATTGGTAGATATTATAATGGGGTGGGGGGTCAATTTGATCAACACATCCGTTGTGACTCTGTAATGGCAAAAGGCCTAATAAAAAGTCTGTGGAGCCCCGCTGGTGTGGCTCAGTTGGTTGAGTGTTATGCCATGCACCAAGAGGTTGCTGGTTCGATTCCCAGTCAGGGCATATATATGATATGATATGATATGGGTACCAGAAAGCATAAAGATGCTTTTCGCAAATTCTAATACAAATAAGCTCCACTAATAAAATAATAAGTTTGTAGATATTTATAGCTGATTGTCAATTTATTATTATAGGCCCCTAGTTACAGACACCATTTATCAGTAGTAGAAAGAATTCTATCCAGCTAGGCCAGAGTAGCTCTCAGCCGGTTGGGCATCCTCTCACGCACCGAAAGGTGGCCAGTGCAATTCCCAGTCAGGGCACATGCCTGAGTTGTGGGTTCGATCTTTGGTTGCGGCATGTGCAGAGGACAGCCAAATGATGTTTCTCTCTCACATCAATATTTTTCTCTCCTTTCCTCTCTCTAAGCATGCCGTCAGGTGAGGATTAAAAAATATTCTAACCGGATATTAAATTTACTTTATTGTTGAAAGTATATCTGAATTCTATGGGATGAATTATGTTTATAGTTCATCAGAAAGATAGGAAGTAAAGTGATCATTAAATATGAA